TATATATACACATATATATATACATGTATATATATACACGTAAGTTATATACATATATGTATGTATGTACACATATATATGTATATGTTTTGAAAAGTGGTTAAACTTAGAAATTCCTAGATTGTACTAAAGTACCATAGGTTAAAAATGTGAGATCATGTTTACTAAATGCTGAGTTCCTGCATGCATACGGCAAAGGAGGCAGTATTTCATTAACGTTTCTCACGAGTTGTTTACCATGAACTAAATGTTTGCCGTGAACCAATACGGCTGGGAGAAGACCGAACTGTAGTCACCCTGACAGCAGTGAAGCGACTAGCTAAGGCCGGCCCTGAAGTACCTCATCTGCGCTGCAGGAACCGTATGCATAATCCTGTTCAGTTCTGACTTTGTAACTTCTGAAATTTAACATAATTTCCATTCTTTCATAAGATTCTTGCTTCCGTGCCTTCTGTAGTTTGTGACCTTCGTGGGTCACGCCCCCACGGGGTTCCACACCGGCTACGGCAAGCACCCCCTCAGCGGCAGCTGGTGGAATTCAATCTGACGTTTACAGTGCTCCGTGTGACCCTGACAAAGGTGCTACGGTTGCTGGACTTTACAAGCACGCACCTACCGCGCTGACCATTCTGGCCGAGCAGCGCGCTGCCTCAACGAGAAGAACGCAGAGTCACTTCCCGTCTCCCCCGAAAGTCAAGCTCACAGACAGCCTTTTCCTGGTTTGACTTAGGAATTTATGTCTGGATTTCGTAACAACAGTCTGTATTTGCTGGCAATACTGGAGTGATCTAGTCTTTTGTAGATCACCTTGGTGTTCATTTGAATACTTCTTGGGCGTAGACCTTTCCAACGCCTGTCTCGGAGGGTTTCTGAGGTTCTGAGGCTACTTCTAATCTGCTAGGTGTTCCAGGAGCTTGATGCGACTTGGCCACTCCTCTGTCAACTGCATAAATATCCAAGTGGCTGCTATCGACCATGGGACAAAAACCCCTACCTCAGAGCTTAGATTCAAGTGAAGAGACAGGCAATAAGAGGTGTTTTTGGAATCAGAATGACCAGTACGTTAGTTGGAGATACTCACTCACTAGGGCAAAAATAAAGCAGGAAAGAGAGACAGATGTCCAGAGGTAAGGAAAGCGGGTGGGACATTGCAGACTGAACAATAAGGGAAGGCCTCACCGAGACAGTGACTTAGGCGAAGTGCATCGCAGGAGGGGCGGTATCCGCAGCAGGCAGAAGAGCAGGTACACAGGCCCGCGGTGGGCAGGCCAGGGCAGCCAGAATGGTAGGAACGAGTGCAGGAGGGACAAAGCAGAAGATGAGGCCAAAGGAGTAATAGGCAGGAGGCGGACCACCGAGGGCCGCACACGTCAGGTTTCAGAAAGGCTTTGGCTTTTTCTGAGAGGAGAAGCTAATGGAGAGTGCTGAGCGGAAGCGCCAATGAGGTTAGGCTTTAACAGACTTTCTAGCAGTAGGGCCAGGCCGGAAGCAAGGGGCCTTGTGACGAGGCCCCCACAGTGACCCAGGCGAAGGAGGCTGGTGGTGTGCCCCTTGCTGTAACCACGCCACGCACCCACCCCGGGGCCAGCTCCCAAATACGCCCACCCAAGAGCAGCCAACCCTGACTCTGCCGGGAAGCACTTCCTTACCACCCACTCACGTTTCGTCTCCCAGACGTCCGTCCCTGAACACGGCAGCCCTGCCTGTGGTTTCCTTTTGGGTGTTTGTTTACGGAGAGGAGCACAGGGATGTCTTAAGTGTCTTTTAATCTATCAGTTTCCCTACAATCTTTTGTTTCCCCTTTCAGTTTGGGGAAGAAACACATCATTTGTCCTGTAGTTTCCCACAGTCTGGATTTCACCGACCATGCCATTTTATATAGTTTAGTCTGTTCCTCTCTCCTCTGTATCTCCCGTAAATTTGACTTTTTTGAGCAAGGCTATTTCAGAGGTGGTGATATGTTCTTCATCAAGGGGTATGTAGTACCTGGTAAGCTGTACTTTTGTGATGTGAACAGGCATGAATACCCAATGCCCAGATCTTTAATTCACTACATTCCTTTTGCGTTTGTTTGTTAAGAAATTTCTATAAAGGATAGTTTCTTTCAATTATAGTTTGTTACTCATTTTGTATAGGAACTGAATAGGAAAGGCAGGATAAATTTTGCTCCTCCCTCCCCTTTTATAAACTGGACTCCAAAGCAGCTTCCAGAGATGACTGATGGGGTTTATTCTGTTGTTGTATCATCAACTCATGGATTAAACATATTTGATATATTTGGATCCAGTGCCATTATCAATATTGATGTTCAAATACTGCCGGCAGACTTTTGACACAACCCCATGTCGTCATTGTTAGCCTCCTTGCTATCTGGTGGGACAAGATATCCCAGGTCCATCTCACACATTTCCCGCTACAGAAAATACATTTCTGTTAGACATTGTCAAAACTTTTTGTTTTGGGTACCTGGGTGGCCCAGTCCTTACGCATCTGACTTCAGCTCATGGCTCCTGAGTTCAAATCCCACATTGGGTGAGCTTAAGCCCCACTTCGGGTGACTCGAGCCCTGCTTCTCTCCCTCTCTCTCTCTCCCTTTCTCTCTCTGCCCCTCACTCACTTGCACCTCTCTCTCTCTCAAAAACATTTTGTTGTTGTTTTCTGTTTTTAGATGGGAGCCAGCCAGTTTGCAGGCTTATGGGAAGGGCCAGGCAGAAAGAGGGAAGAAAAGAGACAGTGTGTGCGTGGAGGGGGGGCGGGGGGGCTGGCTGCAAGCACATCAGGAGCAAAGGCAGAGACTGTGGGGCACAGCAGGGCTGGAGGCAGTGAGGGAGGTACAGAAGTTCTCTTCTGACCGCATCAGTCTCCTCAGTGAAATGAGAAGACGCGTCTCTGGCTGGGAGGGTGGATGGAGGAAGAGGGTGGGAGGACGCTAGAAGAGTAGGAGAGGAAGCACAGTAGCATCCACTGCCCCCCCCCCACTTTCCCCTCCCCCCCTCAACATTCCTGGATCCTCAAGGTGAAGAGAGACCGGGCAGCTGTTGTGTTGCCTGCAGCCACATTCGGCTGCACGGTCACAGGCCTGGAACAAGCAGAGGCCCGCCCTTCGCCCGGAGGTTAGCCTACAGGAGAAGCGGGGAAGGGCAGAGCCCCCACGACTGAAGACGGGAAGAAAGACGGGAGGAAATGCCCCCCTCCACCCCCCCAGGGAGGTTCACAAGGTGTTCAGGCAGGTTCCCTCCGAGGCAAGGCTGACTTCATGAGGACTAATGGGCAGGGACCCGGCACCACACACCCCGTGGCCTCTCACTTGGTAATGGGCCGAGAACACGCAAACGCTTACCATCACTTCCCATTTGCACTTCTGTGAGCAACACCTTATTGGAACATTTGAACACGTGCTATGTACTAGAGACACAGAGACGAGCAAGAAGATGCTCGGCCTCTAGGAGCTCAGCCTCATGAGGGAGAGACCCAGAAACACAACTGTGATACACTGTGGGGAGTAAAATATGGTAACCTGGGGTGCCAGGCAAGTTTCACAAGGGAGGAATTCTCCGAGAGGGCCAGAGGTCAAAGAAAGGATTTGGAAGGAATGGAAATCTGAGCTTACACTGGAAAGACGTGGCACTAACCAGGGGAAAGGGTGAAGAAAGGGCATCCGAGGCAGAAGGGACGGACCAGAAGCAGCGTGTGCGTCCCTGGAACCGAAAACAGTGCGCGGATCTGCAAAGCGAGCCTGACAGTCTGTCAGAATGAGGTGAGAGCCTCGGGGGTGTTCGGCCGTGGGGAGGCAGAGGGGTGTTTAAGTACCGGCCATCCCAGCACTTCTGCATCATGGATGGGCCACTTCAGTCTACTGGGAAGTGGCTCTGAGAAGACAAAGCAGAGGCAGAGAGGTCAGG